TTTAGAGCTTTTTGGTCAACACAAGTTGTCTTTAAATCTACAATGTACATCAAATGCACTTCCTAATTGGACTGAAAGTGCTAATAAACTTGTATGTGGTCGCTCACAGTAAAACAGTCAGCTTTGACGACGTCGTGATGTGCAGTGAGCAGTCAGAAAGTGGCACCAAAAACATGTGGAGCTCTTACTTGGATGCCAATTCGAACAGACTCTTTATCAAGTCGCAGCAGCCAAGTGACCTTGAACAAAACGGAGGGGGAGAGCAGAACCCGAGAGCTCTCACAAGTAGCCCCTAAATGTTCTCAGACTCCATAGTAGCTCTGAGAGTCCCACAGTAGCGCCGCAGTAAGCGCTGCTTTAGCTCAGAGAGCCGTGGCCTGAGGGGGATGCCTGAGCTGAGCTCCGGAGCGCTGCGCGGAGCGGCCGCTTTTCATTGGCGCGCAGAGGTTAACAACCTAATGAGGACTTGGTGATGAGCTGAAGCGTGTAAACGCGCCCCCGCTGTCCCCCCTGTATCTGCTACTCTAACCTCAGCGCGCCCCGTGCAGCGGCAGCCCCGGGAGGCAGGCCGGCCAGCAGCAGGGAGAAAAGGCCTCCACAAAAGCTCTCCGGGCCGCCGCAGGAACAGAGACATGCTGTTACATATGTTGGGTCAAGCATCTCTTTTGTGGCGCTTTGAAAAAAGCGTGTAAAACTCACTCATCTGTGGAGTGTCTAAAGCGAGTGAAAGGCCTGTATGGGGTTTTGATGCACAGGTCTGATGAACTGTTGAAAGAATGTTGAATTTCTTAAGTGCTCACAGTCACTTTTAATTGCCCCGGGGGCATTTAATTGGAATTCAGAGACGCCCATTCAATTAAAGAGTTTTGAAGTGGTGGGTGTAGGATGGACCCATTATGTGGACAGCTTAAAAAAATAATAATAATAAAACAGCGCTCGGTGGATTAGATCGGCTGTGCCTGCTTAACTTTGAGTTTTGACCAACTGAAAGGCCGAATTCCACTTCGATTATTCGATTCGATTATTGTAAAATATTTCAACTGCTTTAATTGTTAAGATGTTTTTTTATGTATACGGTGCCATAAGTACCCCTCTCTGCTTCATACTGACCACCAGTGTTAAATAACTCATCTTGACATAGAGCATACACGCCACGAGAAAAATAATCGTTTAATGTAAGTTAGTGTAAAGGGATTTTTATTCTAAATAAGCATGTCTAATGTTCTTTTATCAAATTTGTATGAGTTGTAAAACTTTTACACAATGTAAAGGGAAGCTGCTGTGCTCAAATGATGTATAAAATTAAAAAAAATTTTTTTTTTTAGATAGCGATGACATGTATGTACTAACATTTAAGAAACTGACATGAGTGCATTTACAAACACAAAACACATAACAGCCTACAGGCTATAGCAGAGTAATGTTTAATAGTGGTTAATCAGTGTAGTTTAGAATCCGAGGCTACAGCCTCATAATTTATAAATTGTTAGTAAACAGATCTGCTCTGTTTTCCTTCAGCATGGCTCGATTTAACAGCGTGAGGATTTACCCTGAACGCCGAGTTGCTTTTTGAAATGGCTATTTTTTTTCCAGCCCTGCGAGAGAGAGACGCGAGATAATGACTTTGAATGTCAGAAAGATTTAGTTTAATATCGCCTCGATTAGTGCACTGCTCGGGTAATTGAAGGTGTAGATGAGAGGGCGGTGGGGCAGATGGCATTTGCTTACTGTGATTCCGTATGTAAACACACAGAAGCGATGAGCGAAACACGCAGCGAAGGCACTTTTTCCCACCTGTATTCCGACAAGCCCCGCCCTCCTGCGCTCTGACTGGTTACTACTTCTCACCGGCGGACTGATTGTGAGCTGCAACTAGTAGCCAATCCTAGCCCGTGTGGGCGGAGCTTGTCGGAATACGGGTGGGAGAACGTGGCAGTGTCCAGCCTTCAGCAGATATCAAGGGAATCAGATGAGTCCTTAGCGGAGCTGCGCTGATAAATAATAAATACGGCGACCAGATGTTCTCCTCACGGTCCTGGCGATGAAAACGAGAAGGACGTCGTTTAGATACTTAAATATGTTGTTTTGTTTTTTTTTTGGTGAGAAATGCTTCGTCAACATTTTAAAATGAAACGTAAATGTGTCACTTTTTCTTTCCGCGCGATGAAGTCTGAGATGGACAGAACCGGTTCTGTCTAATTAAACAGTAACGTCTCGAGTCATAAACTGTATCTGATCAAATCTGCTTATAAAACCACTGCAGCGCAAATTTTTAAGTAAAAAACACGTTATCGTAGAACGAGGTTTAATACAGTGCAGGAATGCAGGTTATAATTTAATGTAGTTTCATATCATTTCGAGTAAAGATACAGTCTGACTTTTATATAGCATAAAAAATAATAATTTCGCCTAATGCAGGGGAAGATGCTACAGTTTGATGCACTTTGATGTAGATTAGTTTAATTCAGGAGATTAGGGGTGTAGACTGCAGTCAGTTATAGTTTGTTAGTTATTTTAGTTTTATTATTAGGTTTAATAAAGTTGTGTTTTATATAGCGATCTGTTCTGTAGTTTAACATAGCATAGTGTAATGTAATATAGGCTACAGTGTAATACAGTGTAACTTAATATCGACGAATATATGTTTTTTCATTATATGGTTTAATATACTTTAATACAGGCTGTAGTTAAACATGTGCCTATTTTTAATGTATTTTATTTCGGAGTGTATAATTTAATGTATTTTAAATAATTGTTTAATATAATCAGGGAATATAGTGTAGTTTAATATAGGCTACGATTCGATCCGTTTTATATAGTTTCGTTTGGGGTGTGCGCTATAGTGCCTGTAATATAATTTAATACAGGGCTACATTATTAGAGGGCTATCATTTAATGTCGTTTAATTTAGAAGAGTTGAATATATTTCAAATACAGTGTAGTTAAACATAAGATACAGTGTAATGCACTTTAAAATACGGGTAGAGGCTGTATTCGCATATTTTTATATTTAATATGCACTGAATGTTGCTTATGTTTATTGTCCTTTTGCAGGATGTTGTGACGTTAATGTTTTGGGGGGGTATATATATATATATATATATATATATATATATATATATATATATGCATTCACACTAGTTTTTATTGCATTATTATTATTATTATTGTTAATAATAATAATAATAATAATAATAATAATAATAATAATATGAATATTAATGCAGTAATACAACAGCACTATAATCAGTACTACATTATTGTTATTATTAGTATTACTATACTAATAAGTATACTATAATACACTCGTATAATACTGTATAGTACACTGTAATATTCGTAGTATTTATAAAAATAATAATACACAATAACAATAAAACAACAACAATGACTTATTATTATTATTATTATTATTATTATTATTATTATTATTATCTATGTTGTTGTCAATAAAGAGTACACGGCTTGTCAAATAGGTCTAACAGTGTGAGAGCCTGCGGCTGTACACAGTTGGCGTGGAGTCTGACAAGGTTATTTGTCAGCATAACAAGTCATCATAAGCCAAAGATTACAAGCACAACGATTAAAATCACAACAGGCTACAGCGACAAATATCAGTGTTATCATCAGCATGCAGACTTAAACAGAAAATACATCTACAAACTAATACAGAGCCCGTACAGCTACATTATGACTTCTAATTAATACCGTTAAAGTGATAAAAATTATTTTAAAAAATAAAAAAAAGAATAAAATGTATAAATATAATATGTAAGTATTATATTACATTATATTGATATAGTATAATCACTGGGTTAAGTGTGCCATAAGTTACACTGGACTGAACATTCAAAACTGCATTAGAAAGATGCACTAACTGCATCTCTACAGTGTTTAGTGTTATTGTATTATTATGTAATAAAAAAAAATATGAACTGAATATGAGTGCACATTTCAGCTCGGCATCTTACCTTTTCCTCGGCCTCGGGCACTTTAACTGCTAACAGCAGTTAAACTTAAACTGCTGGGTCGTGAAGAACATCTTAAAAGGCAGTTTCTGTTGTCATTCATGTGGAAAATGTTATATTTTCTCACGCGATTTTTCTGATCGAGACTTTTAAAAGAGCAGAGACCACTGCGTTCACACCACTACAGCTTTTCTCAGCCAGAAAACACGACTATATCAAAAGGACTGAAAGTTACACATTAATACATTATTGGAAAACTGCTGCACACACACAGCTGGGTGATTTTCAGTGACGGGCTTTCCCGCCCTGTTTACTGGGACTGAGTTTCCGCGCAGAAACTTTGCCGCCTTCGCCCCGCGTGGCGCTCGTTATAGGAGAAAAGCGCGCAGGTGGACACAGTTGAAAACGCTCAAGAGCCAATCAGATCGCCGCTTCTCGCTTTGGCCAATGACGGGCGCCACATTGTTGTCAAATTAGTGTAATGAAAGCGCATGAGCAACAATAGAGAGAGAGAGAGTGAGAGAGAGAGAGAGAGTGTGGGGAAAGGGAGAGAGAGAGGAAGAGAGAGAGAGAGAGAGAGAGAGATGTGTATCCACTGCAGTCTCTCCGGGAAGTTATAGTGTCTCACGCTAAGGCCAAAGCTGCACTGCTCTTACCTGCAGCTCGAGACGCATCCAAACTTTTTTTCCTCCTCTTTCTGTGTCTCGTAAAGTGGAATTTGTCGCTCGTGCAGCTCGTTTTTACTCGTTTTTGGGCAGCTCCTCCTGCTTACACCTCCAGGCGTGGAGAGAAAAGCGGTCGATTACGCAAGCGATGGACTGAAACGCAACAAGTTGAAGATTACAGAAGCGGACTTGCTTTGAATAAGTGGCGAGTGACTTTAACAGAAGAGCAGAACTTCACGCGCTCTGATTGGATGCTCGTGTAGTTTGTCCCCATCGCTGCTGCTGCTGACCTCCAGTCGAAGCCCCTGGCCTGCGCTCTGTAAACCCGCACTGTCGGCTCCCTTCTCCTCCTCGGCCGTTGACCGTCATGGATCTTCGCCCGGAGATCCCCTCAGCCCAGGCGAGCTCGCAGGTCCACCCTTCAGCCGCCGCTGCAGCCGCCGCCGCAGCCTCCGCCGCCGCCGCCGCCGCCTCCTCCATCCCCGTGTCAATGGCCGGAGGGCTCCTGCGCGGGCCGCCGTTGCTGCTGCGCGCCGCCGAGAAGTACCCGCGCACGCCCAAGTGCGCGCGCTGCCGCAACCATGGCGTGGTGTCGGCGCTCAAGGGCCACAAGCGCTACTGCCGCTGGAAGGACTGCATGTGCGCCAAGTGCACGCTCATCGCCGAGCGCCAGCGCGTCATGGCTGCGCAGGTGGCGCTGAGGCGGCAGCAGGCCCAGGAGGAGAACGAGGCGCGCGAGCTGCAGCTGCTCTACGGGACGGCAGAGGGGCTCGCGATCGCCGCCGCCAACGGTATCATCCCGCCGCGCCAGAGCTACGACGTGTTCGCGCCGGTGAGCAACGAGACGAGCTCAGGTGAGTGGAACCCCCCAAAAAGTGCTCAGTTTATTATTTAAAAATGGTAATAGGGTAAACGCAGCTCAGTTGGAGGTTTTGACAAGAGATTAAACAGGCCTTTAAAAAAATATTTTTATTTATGAAACTTTTACAGGGAGTTATGCTAATTAAAAAAATGAAATGAATGAATTGAAAATGTTTTAAATGGAACGTGCTGTTAAATTTGGCAACCGAGATTTATTTATTTATTTATGAGTACTTTTTTTATTATTATTTTAATTAATTGAGCATTGTCCCACGTTATTTTATTCCAGATTCTAACATGCAGAAGTTCGAACTTTTCCCGAAGACCACTCAGCCGCCCGCCGCTAAATCCGCGCCCACGCCCCCTGACTCCGACCCTCTGCCCGGCATGTCGTCCCCAGACGCGCGCCACGGTTCTGGCTCGGAGAACGGCGACGGCGAGTCGTTTGTCAGCTCTCCTGCCCCGAAGGCCGCCAAAGACGGAGAGGACACGCCCCCCTCGGTCAGCCCGCTGGGCTCAGGCTCGGACTCGGGCGCCTCGGACACAGATAAGGACGAGCCGGAGCCCTCTCCGGAGCCCTCGGCCGCCTCGTCTCGCCACATGAACGCCATCGACATCCTGACGCGCGTCTTCCCCACGCACAAGCGCAGCGTGCTCGAGCTCGTGCTGCAGGGCTGCGGGAAGGACGTGGTACAGGCCATCGAGCAGATCCTCAACAACGGCGGCCACCACGCTAAGGCCCCCGACGAGCCGTGGGCGCAGGAGAGAGCTCTGCCCGGCGCGCAGGCGCCCCTCTCCTCCTCCACCTCTTCCTCCTCTGCGGGCCCCAGGCCGCTGCTGGCCGGAGCCATGCCGCTCAGCAACCGCTCCGCCTTCTCCCCGCTGCAGCCCAACGGCGCGGCGCACTTCGGCCCCGACGGCGGCGCTTACCCGCTCGGCGCACCGCTGGGCCTCAGCCCGCTGCGCCTCGCCTACTCAGCCCACAGCAGAGGCCTGGCCTTCATGAGCCCCTACTCCAGCACGGGCCTCATGCCCACACTGGGCTTCAGGCCGCCCATGGACTACGCGTTCACTGACCTGATCCGAGACAGGACTCTCTTACACAAGGAGCAGAGCTACACGAACGGACTTTATGGGCCTCTGGTCAACAACACCCCGGAGAAACAGTGAGGGGACAACGAGGCTATAGAGCAGCCCTATAGGCCGGAGAACTGATCTGTAGGCTGTAGACCTGGTCTGTAGGCTGTAGAACAGGCACATTGGCTATATAACGGGTCTATAGAGCAGGCCTGTAGTCTATAAAACATGTCCGAAAGCTACACTATCTTAAATTCATTGATTCAAATGTGTACACCATTTCCATATCAATAAAATATAAGACATTGACACAATTATTCCAAAAAAGTTGGAATAATAAAGTTTATAGCCCTATAGGCCTCAAACTGACCCAGCTATTTGCCACAGAACACATTTACCGGCTACAAAACAGGCCTATGGCCTCACATTTCTCATAGAACAGACCAGTAGCCTACAGTACATGTCTATGGCCCGAAAGACAATGAAACAGGACTCAGAAATAGTCAGAAAGTCCCGTGCAGGCCGTTTGTTGAGAAAAGTGTTCTGTGTCTGTAAGAAGACTTAGGCGCCTCCTGCTCTCCCTCATCAAGTCTTCTGTACATAAAGAGTTCTGCTTCACTCACCGCAGAAAAAAGACTGAAATGGACAGACAGAGACTGACACACATCTAGTGTTCCAGATGAAATGGTTACCAGTTAAAGTTGTGATTCACAGAGAAGCTCCGCTTGCAGAGGAGACGCAGCTGCGCTTAAAGAGTAACCAGTATTTTCATGTAAATTGTGTATTTGAATTCTTTACATGTTGGTTACAATCCTGTTAGATTATTTGCGAAACGGATTAAGTCTCCGTGTGATAATGGTGCAATTAATAGAATCATTTTCTCCATCGTTTAAAAAGAGACTATACTAACATTATAATTATTATTGTTATTATTATTATTATTATTATTATTATTATTATTATTATTCGATCTTTATCACGCCGTTCCTTTGGCAGAAACTCTGTAAAACCGTGCCATGATAAAGAACAAAAGGCGATGGTGGTCTGAGAATCTGATGGTCTGGTGGTCTGAGGGTGGGATGGTCTGAGGATCTGTCTGAGGATCTGGCCTCCTGTACTTTGGACTTTTCTTTGTGCTGATGTTGTGCTCCGATCAAATCGATTCTGTTACAGCCCTAAACCTAAACCTAATCTCAAATGGGTCACAAACTGGTATAAAATACTGTTCATCTGTTCGTGGTGAATGAAATCTCGCTCCACTGTTACTAGCTGTACATTTCTCTATGTGAATTTTGATAGAAATAAATGTTATTTTATACTTAGCTGCTGTTGCTTCTGGTTTTCTTTTTGATTATCGACTTGAATAATTTAGATTTTTGATAAGGAAAAACATTGAATACGTGCTTATTATTATTATTATTATTATTATTATTATTATTATTATTACTACATAAGCTTGGGTAAGGCATTATCACTAATAATAATAATAATAACAATAATAATAATAATATCATTTCTTCTTCCTCTTATTTTTTTGGATTATTTTATTATTATTATTATTATTATTATTATTATTATTATTATTACTAGTAGTAGTAGTAGTAGTAGTAGTAGTAATAGTAGTATTCTTATCCTATATTAGGAGGCTATTATAATAGCTCTAAGAGCTTTTAAAAATATTTATTCACTGGTTTTATTACATATTAAAAGAAAAATTAAAAGCAATAAACAAAATCAACAAAAGAATAAACATAAATAATGAATAATGAAAAAATACAGTAAGAAGTAAAAAAAGTTTACTAAGCTTTGATAAGGAATAACAGTAATTCCTCTTCTTCTTCATTATTATTATTATTATTATTATTATTTATTTATTTATTTATTATTATTATTATTATTATTATTATCATTATTATTATTGTAGCCTAAACCAATGTAAAAATAGCTTGAACTGTAATTTTCAGAACATTGATGTGTGTTTAAGTTCTAACACAGTCTGGCTCAGATGTCAGACTGGGCTGGTAAGCACGTCTCGAGCAGCTCGTTTTCAGCGCTCCTCTTTTTAAAACTCTCTCCTCAGAGCGGACTACAGTGGTGGGATCGTGAGGCAGCAGTGAACAGTGACAGTCTCAAAGCCAGAGTTGACTGTATTTTCCACTGAGGAGTGTATAGTCCCACTATTGAGAGTAGATCCCATGGAAACGTAATCCCCCCAGCCCCTCCAGCACAGTTCCTCTGTTTACTCTCTCCTGCCACAGAGAGGAGTGTAAACACCAGTGTGGGATTGACAGTGTGCCTTCATTTAAAGGCCGGCCGAGAAGAAACCCAATAATACAATGTTCATGCGAGGCCCCGTAATACACATTTGATGAAGTGCATTTGCAGCAGCAACACAAAATCCTCATTTCCCCGTTTGATATTTATTCATTTATTCATGTATTATTACACCAAACTGCTAGATATTAGCCTAATGTTTGTCCAGTTTAGGTTTTCTCTTGCTGTCAGATGAGCTTTTACACTGTCAAACTGATCACAGGACTCTTTAGTATAGAGGAAAATTAAATGTGAGAGATGACTAGCATTTGACGGTATTGTCCAGAGCCACACCATTAAGTATTAAGACATCAGTATGACCAGGTGATTATGTTAGATCATCTGATTATTCAGGAAACAGTTGTTCAAGAAAATCTGAGAAAAGATAGGATGTCTCATATGGTATACTGGTTAAATGAATAAGGTTCATTTGAAGCAATGAATATTATGGTCTTTATTTCATTTTACAAAGGTGGGGTAATGTATAACTGGGGTAATTTAAATGATCTGATTAAATAAATGCATTGAATAAAATCATTTTTATAATGACTGTATAACAAATAAACCGGTAAATACACAATGATGATAAAACTGCATTCTATTCTATTCTATTCTATTCTATTCTATTCTGCCATGTCTGTGTTATTCTGTTCTTTGCCTGTTTCTATTCTATTACCCACATTTGTCATTATCCATATACATAAAAATTCTATTAAATTAAATTAAAGTTTTTAACTTACGTTGAAAAATTGTATATTGATGCAGCAGAGTCATGTAAGTATAAGCAAGTCTTTTAGCCCCAAGTGTACCAAGCATGTCCCAAACATACTCTCAATCTCAAGCAAGTACGGGGTCAGTGAGTTTGTGAGCTGATCAAGTTCAGCAGAAAACTAACCTGCTTTTTTGGTCAATTTTACGATGGTTTTGATTTTTTCTAATTTGAATCAGGATCAGAGAATCTGTGAGTGTTCACTTTTGGTCAGTGGTTGTTCAGATTTAAGAAAGAGTAAAAGCTTTTTAATCAGCCTAGACCTTGACGTAATAAGCTAAAGGTCAGCTCAGTAATCCTGTTAGTGATAGTAATGTACTTGATGCGAAGGATTTAAAAATACACGGATAAAAAGTTTTCCAGTGTCTGTAATATAAGGTAATGTAAGGCATGTTTTTCTTACAGTGTCTAATCACAGCATGCTATTGAAAGGGAAAGCTGCCTTTTGGTGCTGCAATTTAACTGACAGAATTGTTAAAACGATTATGCAAAAAAAGTTAAAAATTGTGTATGCGCAAAACAGATGTCGGAAAACTGAATTTGTTTTATCTAAAGCTCAAGCCAATGATCTTCTGTTTCTAACAGCTCTTTGGCACCACCTGTTGGTAGAATATTAAACGCTCCTAAGAAATGAAAGTGACCGTGTATGATTGGAGGGGTTGGGTTACTGTGTACCAATCAGTGTAGACACAGTCCCTCACAAATTATTCACTATCTGGCTTTAAATTTATATGATTATAAATATACAGTACTGTATGAATGTGGGACCACAATTTACTACACAATAAAGAAACATTTGCATTCTATTCTATTCTATTTTATTATATCCTGTTCTATTATGTCTTTCTTTTCAGTTCTATTAAATCCTTTTCTAAATTTAAACAATGCTATTACTCACTTTTACCTACATTGCATCATCAGTTTATCAGTTTATTAATATTTCTAAGAAGCACCAAGTATAGTAATAAGTCTAGTAGTAGTAATACTCTCAGATATTACATTCTATGTCTCAAGTAAAGCATTAAGCCAAATCAGCGAGTAAAAATCAGGTCGAAAACATTTTTTAACTTTAAGTCTATATGTATTATACAATTATTATATTAGAATTAGGAATGTGTATGAGGAAAAAGTCTTTTCAATTTTCAATGTATGCAGTACTATATTAAACTTCATTACTGTTAAACTTTATTACTGTTAAATCAGCTATAAACGATTATGAAACCACGTCACTGCAGATTAAAGCAGTAGGTCTTCATGTGTGATGAGGTGAGAATTTGAATAATGGAAGCTGCTGCTTCAAACAGGCAAAAGCTAACACTACCGTGCACTACTTACTCTATGTTAAGTCGGTTGTGTTTCCTTCCTGTTGTCTTCTTTGATGTCAGTCTTAGCTAATAGTAACTGATTACAGTTACATATTTTTTGTAGTCTTTATAATGTATCAAGCAAAACGTCCACTGTTACTCACCAACCGTTCTAATTCATTAGATACCATATAAAATGCCTAAAACAATAGATTAAACCAGCTGAACATGACTGCAAGGCTTTCCTATGTGCTGTATCTTTTCCTTGACAATATTGCCACCGTGTGGTGAAAGTTATTACTTACACATAAAGAACACGTGAAGTGAAGCTCGAGGCCCTGCAAAGCAGGCTGGAGGCTGAGCTCTGATTGGCTAATTGAATCCTGCTCTCTCATTAGTTGCTTGATTCCTGCAATATGATATGTTGTATGAATGCTGCACTCGGATTGGCTAACTGAATCCTACCCTCTCCTGGAATTCTGCAATTTGATTTGTTGTTTGAATGATCTGAATGTCTAGTTGAATTCTGCTCTTTGATTGGCTTCCAGAACTATAATCTAATTAGCTACAGGAATCTTGCAATCTGATTGACTGTTTGAATCCTGCTTTTGATTGGATAGTGGAGTCTATTTCATGGGCCAATTGAATCCTACTCTTTGATTGACTATTGGAATCCTGCAATCTGATTGGCTATTTGTTACTGTGCTCTATTTGGCTAGGTTGAGTGCTCTGATTGGCTAGTTCTGCTCTTTGATTGGCTGCTGGAATCCTGCAATCTGACTAGCCAGTTGAATGGTACACTCCACTTGGCCCTCTGATTTACTGCT